TTGATACTACTGGCCTGTTAAAACAAGTGTTTCAGTTGTACTAGGTAAATAAAAGATGATTAAAATAAAGCAGCATTCACTCAATGCCATGTTCAGCAAAACCATATTGGAGAACTAAAGATAGATGCAACATGCCTTCATTTGTTCTTTTCAAATTTCTTCTTTGTTTTTTTCCCCAACATCAAGGTACAGATAAGAAACAAAAACAAGTGGCTCTTCAAAAAAGTTATCTTCGTGTATACCAATAGTAAACATGAGGGATTTCATCACAAGAAATCCAGCCGAAACAAAGTCGCGTGGTAGGTGCAGAAGAATGAATTCGAAAAAAGAGAGAGAGAGAGAAAAACGACTCTTGGAACACTAGAAAGACCGACAACGGCGACGTGGAGACCCTCCACTGAACACAAACCACAACGAGACAGACATATGACAAGATATAAACAAAAAAAACAAAAAAGAGAGAGGAAAGGTGGTCGTAACGATGTTTCGGTTCTTTGATGTCGAGGTGTGGAGTGCAGGGATGCGATACTGCTGGAGGGTGGGGCACCTCCATCCTCCCGGTATTCCTTCTGTTCTCTCCCTCGCCGCCGTCATTCCATCCAGTCTCCTTCGTCAAACTCGGACTCGTCCTCGGAGTCGGAGTATTCCACGGCGATGCGGCGTGACAGGATGGTGGCCACATCATTACCCACTCGCTCGTGCTTAGCCTCTTGTTCTCGCTGCTCCTCCACTTTTCGCAGCTGTATGCCTGCAGCAGAGAAACGGAGAAAGATGATTACATATCATTGCTCCCGAAACTCACGATTAGGATTATAACGACTACAGCAACAATAACTTGGATATAGAGGAGTATTTATCCTGCTTTATTAAAATGTATTTATGTGAAATATTAAAAACTGGTCTCCGATTTGATTAATCTGAATGAAGCTGGATCTTATAGACACAGCGGGACACTGTGAGCGCAGCACCTGCTCCCACTTGCTATTCAAATCTGTTTGCAAGTGCCAGCCAATCAGAAGAAAGCTTGCTTAAAGGGAGGGGTAAGAGAGCTAAGAATGAGAGGCTTGTTTTATACAGTAGATGAAACTGAATGCAAAGCTAATCTAATAGAGACCAAGCTAGGTGTTCTTTTCTCTAACCATTTAGTGTATAGAATGAATGCTATGGTCCTAGAAGAGTAATGAAAAGGGCGGTAAACAAAAGAGTGGCATTTTCGAAGTTATTTCACGGCCTTCTTTTACAGATTTATCTATGATGTAAGATGAGAAAAGCAGCAAAGATTGGAGGAAGTTTTGCTTCAAGACAGGCTTAAAAATATCTGAATATATTCTCTTATCATCACATGCAGAGCTGGCATTACACAATCTTTTCAAGATTTGGAGGCAGTTAAGCTGCTACTATGAAAAAGTGGCCACAACGTGGTTTTAAAGAACTATTTGCACATGCATTTACAAACACTTCACCTTTTCTGATAGCCTCCAACAGGACGCTGCGTGCATCGCTGATGGGTGGCAGATTGGCTGGATGGTGCCTCTTGGTCCCCACGTCGTGGACGGCGTGGGGGGGAGGGGAGGCCATGGCTCCTGCTGAAGGGAAGG